GGGCGAGTGCTGCTGCAAGGGGCTGTGTTGTGAGATATATATATATATGAAAAAAATAAATTTAAATATATATAAAATAGATAGATATAAAATATATTTAAATATATGTAAAATAGATATAAAATATATTTAAATATATGTAATACCTTTAAACACATACAAAATACATATATATAGAAATTTATATATAATTTTTATATATATATATAATTTTTTTTACCCCCCCTTTTATTTCTCTGGCTGCAGACCCCGCAGTGATTTCCCCCCAAGACCCCACCCTGCTGATCGGCTCCTCGCTGGTCGCCACGTGCACGGTCAGCCCGGACTTTCACCTGAAAGCCGAGGACCTGTACTGGACCCTGAACGGCCGGCGTTTGCCCGCTGCCTCCTACGCCGCCCTCGGCCCCACCACGCTCAGCGTGGCCCTCGCCCGCCTCAACGGCTCCAAGCAGCAGTCGGGGGACAACCTGGTGTGTCACAGCAGAGACGGCGGCATCTTGGCCGGCTCCTGCCTTTACGTTGGACGTACGTCGGCGGCGCCGGCGGCGCGGTTGCACATGCCGGGTTTCAGCCGGCCCCGGCACTGCTTTGCCGTTTCGGTGGGGAGAGCTGCGGGTCCCGGCGCAGCCGGGGGAGGATTTGGGGATCCCCGCGGGGATCAACACCCCCGTTCTTGCCAAAACGCGCCATGGGCTTGCAATGGTGGCGCGCGGTTGCTTGCGGCTGCTCGCTTTTAACCTCCCCTCTGCGGTTTGTGCCCCGACCCGCAGCCTCCCGCTCGCAGCAGAAAGGCTGTTTTGGCAAACCCTCGGTAAAATTACACTTGTCCGAATCAATAATCGTAAGATTTTATCTCGGGCTATTTTAAGGACGATGCTACGTCCTAGGAATACAGAGGCTTAACTGGGAACACAGCTCGGATTTGTTTTTTGGGTTGCTGTCGCTGAAAGAAAACAGCTCCGGAGCCGGGTGCGGGCAGGGGCCGGGTGCAGGCAGGAGCGGGCAGGAGCCTAAACCCCTCCAGCAAACATATTTGCAGCCACAGGGCTGGAAACCTGCGGCCGGCCAGGACCATGGTGGCATTGCCCACCGAGACCACGAGCTGCGTTTCACTGCTGTGCCTTTTCATCCCCCTCTGCCTCTTATTTATTTTTTTTCTTTCCCAGTACCCCCAGAAAAACCAGTCAACATCACCTGCTGGTCCAAAAACATGAAGGACCTCACCTGCAAATGGGCACCGGGGACGGAAGGGGAGACCTTCCTGCACACCAACTACACCCTCAAGTACAAGCTCAGGTGGGGCCACCCCCCTTCATTCCCATTATTCTTAAAAAAAAGCCAGTGTGGGATTTAAAGGCGAACGGGGCGGTGGGGAGCGGGGACCCCGATGCCTCCTGGCTGGCCCCTCTCGGGGATGTGATGAGTTTCCTCGGGTCTCCGCTGCCACGAGTGCTGGTGGACAGCCACGCTCCGTACGTGCCGGGGAGGAGGAGGGTGAGGAGAAGCCGCGCGGCCCCGGTTGAGCTGGGAACCGCCGGATGAGCCGCGAGCGGCCGCCGTGGGGCTGGTAACCCAACACCTCGGCAGCGCGATGCCGGCGGTGTTGAGTGGCAGATAAATGAGCCGCGGTCCCCGCTGGGAGCAGCCATTTCCTTCAGGGACGGGTGAGCGTCCCTGGCTCCAACGCGGGAC